TTCAATGGTATTCTGGATTAAGGTGCTTAAAAGGTTGCCACTGCATAAAATTCAGTTCGCTCAATTGTATGTTGGGGCCAAAATATCTGGAGAGATCTGCTTTTCAAGAGGTTTCACCCACAGGTTTTCTTTGAGTGGCATCTTAGCTTCAAAGTGGCTCTTGTAGGGCCTATTATCAGGCCAGTGTTCCCCAACGTGGGCAGTGCTGGTGTTGTTCGCCTCAGATTAGAGATGGGTGCATTGTTAGTGTGGAGGGGTCTCCTGGATCTTATGCGATAAGAATCGATTCAAATTCATCCGTTTATTACGGCTCTTCATAGCTTTCCTATGAAGCCTTCTATCCATCTGAGTTGCTATGATTCGCCCTAAGTTCTTATAAGGGACCACCGGAAAGAGCTGCGAGACGAACCCTTTATTTTTCGGTGTTTTTTTTGTGGCAGAATTGCCGTTGTTCCGTAAACCGTATTAGAAGGTTCAGTATAGGTTGCCTTTTAGAATGTTTACCTAAAACGTATGTGCTCAAAAATTCACGTTATGGGTTACAGCCATTCTACCGACTGGTCAAGCTTAGAGTTCTTATTTTTAGCAACCGTATGGTATGGGTATGAGGGCGCAGATGTCACCATCCTTTGTGCCATGTATGATGCCAGCGGCGTTGAGTCCACATAATGTCGAGATGTATCGTCAAATGATGATGATGAACGGCCCATGTAGTCCGTTATACGGAAGCATGGCAGCTGCCGGCATGAAGATGGACGTCCCTTTGGCCGCAAGCATGCGATCGTCCAATCCTCTCAATCAAGTGAGTCCAATTTAGTTGAACAACCACCGTTTCTTTGTGAGACTTATTGTTAGTCGCATGTGCTTCGGGCTATTGTTTGGGTTTAGATGAACCAAATGCGGTTACCGTTCGTTGGCTCACCGATAACGTCAATGGCTAACAGTATGTCACATGATGGTTTACGGCGAACACGAGATGGAAAAGTGAAGAAGGTGAAGCAGGTTCTCTCATTTGTGGCTAACTGCTAAACTTTCTTCAAGTTCGTACATAAATAACAATTATTTCAGGAAGATCACATCAAGAAGCCATTGAACGCATTCATGTGGTTCATGAAAGAGAATCGGCCAAAACTCATGGAGGAGCTTGGCTATAAAGAGAAACAAAGTGCCGAACTGAACAAAGAACTCGGGAAGCGATGGCATGATCTACCCAAGGAAGAGCAGCAAAAGTAAGTCTTCGAGAGCAATTTGAGACACTGTGAAGTTTGCATTTTTTTCAAATATTCCTCGCGTATTTCTGTACATCAATGGATGTTATGTGACATCAGTACTGTACTACTGTTTTCTTCTTGTTGAGGTTTTATAGTAGTCTCTTCATATGAGGTTATACCTTGATAGTCAGAGTCTTAAGATCCCGAATAAATTTTGTTTCTTCAGGTATTTCGACATGGCTCGTGCTGATCGAGAACAACACAAGGTGAAATATCCAGGCTGGTCAGCCCGCGAGAACTACGCAGTGCATAAGCGAAAGAAGAAGAGGCGTGATAAGAGCGAGGGTGGGTGAATTGATATAGCCTTTTTTGACAGTGCCTAGAAGTGGTGTGGAAAGTTGCTTAACGAGTTCCGGAACATTTTGAAGTGCGCTGTTCTTTCGTAGCGTTTTGCTGAATTGTTCCTTTCCCAGTTCGTTCATCAGCGCTTTCCCTGGTGTCTCTCTAAATTCCTCCAATTCCCTTTTTTTTGGTCGGCGTTCCAGCAAGGTGATCAGTGATAGCGGCTTTATTCACTGTCAGACTTCGTTGATCCAGCTAACAAGCCTCGCGCGCGCTCGTTGTGTTCTTCTTTGTCGAGTGCCTGTTTTGTGTGCTTTGTCGCGAAGATGTCATTAGCACCGTACAGTATACCTGAGAGTTCCCAGCGAGCTAAATAAACATTGTGATGAGCTACGGTAATTCCGGTGTCCGGCGATAATCATGTGATTCGCTCATCGTGAACTCAATTGGGGCTTTTGTTGGGGCGCAAAATATGGGAAAGGTTGCGCTGGATGTGATGCACCTGCAGCATATGTACAAGCTCAGTACTGTAGAGGGAATGTATGTAAGGGCATAATGATAATTAAGGTAGTAGTTTGAATCCATGAGAAAAAATTCAGTACTCCGTTCTTTTGCGCTCCATGTAGCCCTGGCAGTGTTTATTAACCAAGACTGGTAAGACTTTTACAGAGGTGTATTTCTGGCGGTGTACTATTATTTTGACCACAAGTGATTGTTTTTTATGAGGGCAAACGGGTTGTTAATGTCTGTTTGGGGTCTTACTTTTCGAAATAAAACCAATGAATTCCAGAGTTTTATAAGCCGTTTAAAAGCGGGTAAGTTGTGCGCTCATTCAAGGTGGCAATTTTTACGAGCGAAGAGGCTTTACAAATGAAGAATGTGTACTTAGTGCCGATTAATAAGAAATTCTTTATTTCGAGCTAGTTTTTGCATAATGGACGACAGTGCGCGGAGTTGTAGGGTGGGTGGGTAATCATCGAGAAATGATTTAATGAGTTCCAATATGACGATGACTAAAAACGTGATCACAGATCCGATTTTATCCGGCTACCTTATCAGTTAAAGTTTACAAAAAATGTGCGCGTTCTGGTTATCGCGATCTGTGGATCAGTCTGAAGAATCGAATTTGTAGAGCGCGCGCGTTGAGGAGATAAATCGCATAGAAGAAATGATGAAATTCTGTGCATTTCAGATGTATCCGACATGAAGAAATGCCGCGCACGATTTGGAATCGCCAATACCGATCAGTGGTGCAAGTTCTGTAAACGGAAGAAGAAGTGCATGTATTCGACGTACGATCCCACTGATGCATTGTCGGAAGAGCATAATGATCGAAGTGAGTTGTGCAGGAGCCCTCTTTTATTTTATTTCGATAATGTTCGAATACTTGCTTGACGGAAGTAAGGTATATTTCCTAGTCCATGTCGGTTTGTTATGTAGGCCTTGTTTTTGATAGTTTACCGATGAGACCTGAGCTATTTTGTTCGGTGGTTGGAATGCTCACAATCTCAAGGGTACAACCAAGAGATGTTAGATGTTCTGTAAACAAAATATGTAATAAGGAAAAAGTATGTTTTGTATCGTGGACGGGGTGTGCCTTTTATATGCAGCCAGGTCACACTCGTGATGCTCAATTGGGTGTTTAGATGAGACTCTGTGCTGCAATAAATATGATTGTTAGGAACAATAACGATTTTATTTCGATTAGGTCACTTTGTAGCATGAGTATCTGGAAAGTATGAACGATGGCTTTAGCAATTTGGGCTCCATCAGATGGTGGGGGGGGGGCTCATTACACGTTTTCATGACGCTTAGCTCGCATAGCTCGCGCGGGGCCCTCTTAACTACGCTGCTTTTGCCGCACAGCCGCGACGAGAACTGTTCTGATCTTCTATAACTTCGTAGTTCGAAATAGGACACGTGTTAGCTGTTAAAGGAGCAACGAGGAGATCTCTTGAACGTATGTTCTCCTCGTGTTTGCAGGGCGATTCAGAAACTCAGCGGGGGCCCGCCCGGTCGCTCTATTCAGAAAACTGGTGTTTTTAAATTTTCGCATTAATTACACTTCAAAGAAGTAGAGTTGCTGAGCTTAATATCGGAAGGTCTCATTTCACGTCCGACCCTATCTCAGAAGTTCCGGCCTTGAATCCGATTTCGATCTTTTTAAGATCACTAATTACATGGTACATACACTACCCTTTCAACATAATTCGTAAGCAGAAATAAGATTTTGACCAGTCATTGTGTCAGCTAACTCGTTTCTAGCTTCATCAGGACCGTCACCGTTGACTTCGTCACTGGGCCCGTCGCCTCTTGGTGGTGTTGTCGATCACGATGCCTCAGATTCCGAATCAGAAGTGGATGAAGAAGATCGTACGCTCGTTGATATGGACATTCAAGAAGCGGCAATGCAACAACAAGCGATCACACGAGACAACGAGTTGGCAGCATTCTGAAAGAAGCCACGCCAATGATGCATGTTCTCACCGCCACATCCTCCCAGAACGAACTGCTTTGACCTGCATTTCATTTCAGTTGAGAGAGGTGATTGTATTGTACTTCAATTAATCGGGTTTTTAGTCGTCTATCTACTCATGTTTTACTTATACTGCCACTCTGCCGTATATTTCCATTTGTTTTGTGCTTAGTTCTGTGCTGGTGCTGAGAGCAGCGCCATCGTCGTCGATGGCTGCTTCATGCTCTCAGACTCGTTCAATGTGTGTCTCTCTCTCGCTCAGCATACGCGCGGTCGATCGGGTACTAGCTGTTGTTTTCCCACCTATGTGTGTTAGTGTATTTTCAGCAGGATTTAAAAAATTCTGTTGAATCCTTGAACATTTTGTAGACGTGGTGCATTTTGAATTCGTCACGGTTCTCTCCATTACTACCCCATTCCCCGTATCCCTCATGGAATCCTTCCTCCCCGTCCTTACAGGGTCACCAAATACACAGCCCTTCTTTCACTCAGTCGCTTCGAAAGCATCTCATTGTTATCGTTTCTCGCGTATTTCTCGTTTGTCGTTTATCTATATATGGAAATATGGATGATTTTGGTGTTTAATTATGTATAATGTTTAGTTCTGTAGTAAGATAGTACACATAGATCCGTCGTGCGTGTCCCTTAGCCAGCGCAGGTGCTCTTTTGAGATTTTTTGTTTGAAATGTCAACCAACCCGAACCTCATCAAACACCCGCACACCCACATACATAGTTGAAGCTCACCTTATTTGATGTAATTTTAAGACAGTCTTTTTGTTTTCTTCGACGATAAATTCGCAGTTTCCGAGTAAGTCGCGTATGTGCAATAACATTACGCGCGCAGTAAGAATTTTTATGTGGTAATGTTGTTTTTTCTCCTTGAGTGTACATATGTCCTCTAGGACTATTTTGTTTTCTCATATTCATCGACCAAATCATGGTCATAAATGTGCTCTTATCATTTGCAAATAATAAATATTGAATACAATTGTGTTTGAAGGAACGTGGAATTCACCTGACACGATTTATATACAGGTAAAGATCAGAAGTGGAGAAGGAAAAGGAAAAGAAACCGTTAAAATTGTCAGAATAGGTAGCCTTTTTGCTCTACACTGCGGAGAAGTCTAAGAAGCAGACAGCGGGGTAAGAGATAATGTGAGTCGCGGAGATGGAAAGGAAGTCCGAGGCGAGAGAGCGTAGCATTGCAACGCAGATAAGATATCAAACGGTAGGAGTACGGATCCTTTTGGGTGTAGGAGGATTCAAGTCCTGAGCGCCTAGCGCCTTAGTGACGCGTTCAGTGGCGCTACCACTGCAGCAGTGGATTTAGCACCTCTATTCACGAGGGCCTTTTTTATAGAAGGGAACGGAACCGAACCTTGCCTTGAAGGTTATATTGAAGGTGC